AAACACAATTTTGTTAATATAGTAGACTATGTGTATATGTAAGTATGTTATTAATTATGTTAGTGCGAATGAGATGAGGGAAAAAGGAGGAAGTGTGGAGGAGATAAGCTAAAAACACAACAACATAGTTTACTGTTTTTGTTTATTTTGCACATTCCTACCGACATTGTGTTGTGTACTATCATGCATGTATTGTATAATGCTACATGTCAACATGTACTGTTAGTATTGCTGTTGCTATGCTAAAAAATTAAGCCATATAATTTTACAACAAAGCTTGCAAATTTATTCACTATTGTTATTTATTCACTATCCTTATTTATGAAATAAGATTAGTGCACTGTAGATCCAGTTATGGTCACAAAAGATACTCCATTGCATTAAGATATGTTTCCTCCCATTCATAGCAAGTGTACATAATATTTCTCATAGTTTAACTTCCTTTTATTAGCTCATAGTAAATTTTGCACATGTACATGTGCAGTAAATAACTAGTACAACTAATTATATCAATAAATAGCTACAGTATGATGTCATATTGAAAGCAAGCAAGTCACAATGAGTAGCAATGCATGATAACATTGATTTGTACTTTATTGTACTAATGTCAGGTAGTCAAAGTGTATGTATGCATTCACCATTTGTTGTTGCTTGTATTTTGTAGTGTGTGTTCATATATATTTTGTACTATCAATAATTTTGTATCACTCAACTAATTTTTCTAAAAAAACACTACAAAAATTAATACAAAAATCACTATAAAGTCTCTCTACAAAAACTAACTAATAATTGTTTAAATTGGCACACACACACAAAAGTCCAGTGACCGATCCATTCCACAGTATATTGCCATGATTTAACTGTCACGACGAATTCTCATCCTTGTACCTGATCGTATACTTTCAGTCTCAGGCTCACAATCCTTCCAAAATATTCCAGTCTCATTAGTTGCAGAGTATAGGCCATTGAGATTAGAGTCGGAGCAACTGTTATACCACCAGGCACCATGATGCACCTCAGCACAGTTACCACGGTGATAATCATTATCATTATCCTTTGTGCTGAACTTCATTCCATTAAGAGAGTCCCTACCAGTCATTGAATCATCAATTGTTCTGGAAAGTCCATATAAATTATAAGCAGATCCGTATGAGTATTGTAAATTTATTATGTATTCAGTGTCACGGTCACTAATATTGAATGATGAATACACAACATGATCAGTGTACCAACTATTATATGTGAGATAAATATCTAGCCTGTGTGTTCCTTCTTTAGTAAGACGATGAATCTTGCTCAATCCTAACCAAAACTCACCATTCAAATCACCAAACCCATTCTCATAGTCAATCCACCCCCTGTAGAAATCAACAGATCCATCTTGTCTTCTCTGAAATACAGTCCATCCACTTTCACAATAAACCTATTAAAATGAACAATAATTTGATACAGCAGTACAGTATACAATAGTATACTTGGAAAGGTTCACCATCATCTGGTTTTACAGTATATATTCCATCGTAAGTAGCTCCCAAATCATAGTACCATTCTTTGCAATCACGTGCCATTGCACACACTATACATAAAAGAAAGAACTTCACATAATATATATCATACACAGTAAAATAATTAATGCTACTTTTTCAATACTTTATCACGTACCTGGTGCATCATTCACTGAAGTGTTTGATGGTGAATAAAATTTCCCAGAAATGACATAGGGAACTTCAGGAATTGGAGAAGGAGGAGGAGGAGGCTCATCATCAGGACAGTTTCCATTGACAGTATTAATAATAACAATTATTATCATTAAACTGTACATCAGTTTACCAGCTAACATCATCTCAGTATAGTATCTTTATTATATACTTATTAAGATAATGTGATAGGTTATCAGTTGATGTTACTGTAGTGATATTTCTCTCCTTTTATAATAAACTCACTCCGTGACTAGTGGTATTGGACTATAAAGATTGAACAACATTTTGTTGATTTTTAGTAACTTTTACTGAATATCAACACATCTTTCTTGATCTTTAAATTTTAAACTACTTAAGTGTCCATCAGTTAATGAATATATGTATATGATTGATTGATGCCTGTCAAGTTGAACTGTTTATTTTTAACAAAATGTAAACATTCAAATAAACTTTAGAGTGTCTGGCTCAATCTATGAATATATAATGACATGTTCTTGCTGGAACTTTAATAATGTGTTTATTATTTATTTTTGTATAAACCATCATTGGTCATTGCAGTCCTTACATTTTTGTTGTCACAAACATGATGGCACCTGCTCCTAATGTATTAATAGAGTGTATGTTAGCATAGATAAAAACAGTACAGAAGGTACCGGTAGGCTAAGAATGTGAAGTATAGTCAACTTTAGAAAATATACCTGTATGAAATATTTATCCTGTTTTTGTTTATTTTGTATGATTCCCAACACATCAATGCTGCATGTGCAGTGAGTGTGTGCAATGTGGCTACTGAAATCTATCAATCCTGTATAATAGATCTAGTATATTATAATAATAAATGCAGCATGTACATGCTCATAGTTACCACTAGAGCTAGCGGTCATTACTTCTCATTGAGCTTCTCATTCTCTTTCTCTTCCTTTCTCTCTCTCTTTTCATGTTGTAGATATTACAGGATCTTGTAAATCCAACCACATTGCCATGATGTACTGATAGTGACTGATTCTTTACAGGTATTGTACCAAAAGAGAACAAGAATGAGGACTAGAATCTTCCTTGAAATGGTAGAATGTTTAGTAGCGAAATTTTGTGTATTTCTTTAGCAATCCTGCATTGATTAGTATTGCAGGCCAGCCCCACCTTCACACATTATTGCGTGGGTGTTGCATCAATTATTTATTAACTCTTTATTAACTGACTTTTCATAATGTATGTTTTTTATTTCACAATTTTTGAATCTCTTTCTTCTCCTCCAGGGCCGACTATTGGAGGACTGATCCCAGATACTACTGTGAAGTTTGCAAGTGTTGGCTTGGAAATAATAAAATTGTAAGTTTTGTAAATTATTGCATTATATTTTGTCTTTATAAACCAAAGACTGAACCAAACACAGGTTGTTTTGTCAAAAACGGTTATAAGTCATTTTTGTGTTGCATATACATATAATTATGTTGCGTAAAAAGTTTGAGCTAATTCCAATCAAATTTGGATTTTTACGAGTTTTTAAAGTTGCTCAAAAATTGAATCTAAGTCCCTGTACTATTAGTAACGCGGTAACGTTACTAAGTAGGATTCACCCCACTTCAAAATGGCTGCCACGACTTTTGCAGCCTCGCTATATATAGTACAGGGACTTTGGCCAAATTTCACCAAAAGTGACAAAGTGAGAATTTTCTATTTTTATAACTTTTTCTGATGCGTATACATGTTCTTATGTTGTGTAGAAAGTTTAAACTGGTTCTAATCAAAATTGGATTTTTTACGAATTCTTAAAATTTCTCAAAAATCGGGCCAAAGTCCCTGTACTATTAGTAACGCGGTAGCGTTACTAAGTAGGATTCACCCCCAAACAAAATGGCTGCCACGACTTTTGCAGTCTTGCTATACTGGGAAAACGAACTCCTATGCTTACCAGACTTCTTAGAGGACCTCA